GGTGCACAAAATGACCCGTGCACGAACATCACCTTGTTCAAAGAACAAAACCAACACAATGCACGAACTTACAGCAAATTACATACAAATGTACATACTGCGAATCAGTGTGACTTCTGCTGTTGCCTTTGAGAGACCAGTTCAGATATGCGTGGCTTCACCTTGGCAAGCGCCACTCTCATGTCATTTTCACAGCAAAGTCTGTTCCTCTTCTTCGTTTTTATGTCCAGCATCCTTGCAGGGATTGCTCGCAAAGATATGTTGTAACAAATGGTATAAAAAAAATCCAGGGCTTTCTCAGCAATAACTACATACTCATCCATTTGTCGACACCAAAACGTTGAGAGCGTTGTTGTTCTGAAGAGTTGCTGTTGAACCTGGCTCTGCTGAACTTCAATGATTTCATCAAGGTATTCATCATCGACATCTGCTGTCTCAACTGCAAACGTGAACAGCTGTCTCACCCATGCTGGATATGACTCTCTTGTAGGAAAATATCTGTCGAGAGACTTTGCCAGCTCATCTAAATGTGTTGCAATTGTTTATTTCTCTTGATCGTTCTTCAAAATAAAAGCCTCTGGCATGATTTGAGTGGGAGGGAAACATCCTCATGAAGAAACAAATAAAGGTTCAGGTCAAAGGTAAGAAACCAAATAACAGCTTTGCTTATCAAGTAAGACTGACAGAGTATTTAAGGATCCCAACTTGTTTTATTTTTAACTCCACAGTCACATATTTGGTTCACAACATAGGTTTCAGCTGCTTTCAGTTCTCCTGTCACAAGCACTCACTACAGCAAACACCATTGCATGTTAGATTTAGGAGAGCTTTTTCTACAGCCTGAAGGTAGCCTATGCTTTACCTGATGGGTACAATGTTGGTGTTGCTGCTGCTCCTGAGGCACTCTCAGTAGCAGGAGCGTCTGGGAAGGTCTCAAAACTCTTGAACAGAGGCGGGGTTTACGACACCAACTCTCTGCCATCTATAATCCAGTTTTGAGATCCCTCCCCAGACGCCTTAACGCCCACTCACATCCTGGGCCATCTGACCTCAGGAAATCACATGATAAGGTGGGGCCAGGTTTCACAATGAACTCACCCGAAACTCTGGCTGATTGGGACCCACACCCAGTTTCACACCTTGGCTCAGGCGATTAGAGGATCATCAGGGGGTCCTTTTGTCCCTCTGTGGGGGGAAACTCCCACTAGGTTTATATCTGGGACTCTCCACCATTTGACCTTAGAACTGAAGAAGCTTCTCGGATGAGAGGTGAAACGTCTTCAAGCAACTTAAAGAAGTCCAGACGCTTTTCTTTGCAAGCTCCTTTGACTGAGTAGACAAATCTTGCCCCTGATTATTACCACCTGTATATTTTAAATTACATTTTGTTTGTAGTGTCAGTTCACAGTCGCTTCAATGAGTTTTATATTGTAAGGTTCAGTAAAGACCTCACTGACCTTGTTCTTTCAGTGTGTCGGGTGGAGGTGGAGGAGGGGGCGGAGTCTGTCCAGCTGCCTTTCAATACCACAGGTAACCTGTCCAGTGCTGAAGTGGAGTGGTGGCGCTATGAACCTGAACCACCAATTACGGTCCACAAATATGAGAAGGGCTCTGACCAGCGAGACAAACAGCACCAGGTCTACAGAGAACGAACGAGGATGGAAGCAAACTCACAGATGACTGGAGACCTCAGTCTGACCCTGAAGAAACCCTCAGACAGAGACACGGGAAAATACATCTGTAGTGTCAAGGACAAGAGGATCAAGAGGAAGAAAACGGTGCTGCTGATAGTGACGAGTCAGTATGAGTGTGCATGTCAGAAAATATTTCTGTTTTTGTGGTTGAAAATCATTATTCAACCATTACCATTAACCAAATAAAAACCTGCCTTGTAGATTCACTTCTGTCTGTGCAGCTCATGATGGTTTGTTGTCCTCTCAGTGTGTCAGTTGGAGGTGGAGGAGGGGGCGGAGTCTGTACAGCTGCCATTCAAAACCACACAAAACCTGCCTGGAGATGCTGAAGTAGTGTGGAGACATTACTGAATACCACAATGTCCACGTGTATGAGAACGGCTCTGACCAGCCTCACAAACAGCACCAGGTTTACAGAGACCGAACGAAGATGAATGAAGACCTGCTGAAAACTGGAGACCTCAGTCTGACCCTGAAACAGCCCACAGAGAGAGACAGTGGAGAATACAGCTGTAATGTCTGCAGCAAAGAAAGAAGCATTTCAAGAGAGACCACAGTGCTGCTAAAGGTCAAAGGTCAGTATGAAAATATAAGTTTTCTCTTGTTGTCTGTACCTTGTGGGGACCAACAGTCTCTTTTGGGAACACCCCACGAGTTTGACTTGCATTTTTGAGGCTCAAAATGTGGGCAAGGTTAAAGTTAGGTTATGGTTAGATTTAGTCAATCTTTATAGATGGTTAGGGAAAACATTATGTCAAGTAGATGGCTCCACTAAGATGTGTGTGTGTGTGTGTGTGTGTGTGTGTGTTGGTGTGTGTGTGTCTGTGTGTTTGTGTGTGTGTCTGTTGTGTGTGTGTGTGTGTGTGTGTGTGTGTGTGTCTGACTGTGTTGTGTCTCCTCTGCAGGGAGAGTTCAGGTCCAGGATCAAACAGGGGACATCAGGAACAGAAGCAGCTCCATTGATCCGACTCCGCTGATGGCTGATCAATCAGTTTGATCTGAAGGCTTAGTTTAGAATCAGCTGTTTGATCACAAACATGGATAAGCCTCCTCTTTCAGCTTATCACAAGGACACAGTAGGAAAGTGATTCTCAAACTGTGGTATGTGGGCGTCCTCTAGTAGTACAAGGGAAGCCTCCAAAGTTTTTTAAGATTAAAAAATATAGCATGTTCTGACTGAGAAAATATAATAATGTGCTATGAGGTGGTGAGCAACACAGCTATGTTAGCATAACATAAACACAGTGAAGATGGAGGATGAATGAACTTTTTTCCATTCAATAAAAGTTAAGGTGAGGGTTCCTGATGGTGCAATGCAATCGCATGGCAGGATGCTGTAAACGGACCAAACATCAGTCAGGAGAACAACTGAGATAATCGCTGGGAGCAGTAATTAAAACATGTGAAAAACACAACAGCGTTGATAAATGCAGAGTAGTTTGGCCCCAGAAGCAGGTTTATCAGGTCATCACTTAAAGATTGGAAGTCCACTGCTGCACCACCTGCTGTGAATGTTTTAATGCAGTACAGTTATTATTATTGTTATTGTCACCTGTCACATCCTGTTTATGACAGTTAAAAAAAGTAACATTCATATAAGAAATAAAATCGTCTCGTGTAAACTGTATGTGGTGTTAAATAGACAGTGTTGGGGAGTAACGGAGTACATGTACCAGCGTATTTAAAATACAAAATATGAGTAACTGTATTCAGTTACACTTACTGTTTAAAAAGGTGGTATTTAGAATACAGTTACTTTGCTGAAATAAATGGTCTTTTCCTGTTTCATGTGTTATACTATGCCCTCTGTATTTTTGGTAATTCCACGCCAGTGGAAACCCAAACAAAACACACATTACGAGGCTCTAATGCCTGTGTCTCTACTCTATTTGTGGCCCGCAAAATGACGTGAGGAAATATTTTTTTGAAATTATTGTTCAAAAAATGATTTAATATGAAGGCAGAGTGTTACAGGCATAGCTCTAAAGCATGCAGCCTGATGGGCAGTGTAGTCCGTGCTGCAGGGAGAATGGACCGCCATAACCATTATGTGTCTGTGAGCGAGGAGGGAGAAAAAGGAAAAGTACGAGCTGTCACCCATCAGAAACAGGAGCTGGAAGCATGTAAATATAATAATAACCACTGCAGCCAAGAAGAGAGCCTGACGAGCCCAGCTGTAGGTAAGCTGTTAAGACTCGACTGTACGCTGTGTTCGTGTTTTCCTCTGCAACAATACGAGGGGATGTATTGTGTAATCTGTAGTGGAATACAGTTTAAAAGTAACCTTCCCAACACTGTAAATGGGCCTATACTACTGTACTTTAATATCGCTCATAAGGGTGGTACTACAAGAGCTATATATTTCATGAGGTGGTACTCATTGTGAGAAGTTTGAGAATCACTGCCTTACATTTATTTATGCTTTTATTATTTCTATTTAACCAGGGAAAAGGTTAAAAAAGTGATTTTGGGAACATTTTTGTCTCTTTTGTAGACCTGGACACTCTTTTTATTTTATGAAAAATAAACAAAATATCAATTAAAAAAATCT